TTATTTCTAATGTTTTTATATTCTATTAATTGTTTTTTTTTGTTTCATTTGCAGCATTTTAAGATGATTTTAATATTTTAATTCTATTTTTACTTGTATTTTTATCTTTTTCCATCGTATTTTATCTTTTTTTTATTTTTTTTTTATTTTTCTATTTCATTTTCTTTAATTAATTTTTTTTTATTAGCACATAATCATGAATAAGATACGAGATATCAATCAAACACATTTTCATTATTTATTTTTCAAATTTTTAATAAAATATAGATATTGTATTCTTGGTTTTACAATTTTTCATTAAGACGACGATTTCATAAAATGTAATATATTTTTAATTAATATAATATTAATAATATATTTAAACATAATATATTCTTAACTATATTTCAGTAATTGTATTTAAATTAATTTGTAATTATATTATATATAAATGACTTTTAAATATTTGAAAAGATTATAAATACTATATAATATATTATAAATACTATTTAGAAGATATTAAATCAAAAAATTTGAAATATAAATTATTTTTGAAAATATGATGTATGATATATTAATAAATGAATAAATTACTTTGTTATCGATAACAATATATAATAAGTTTGAGCATTTTTGAAAGAGATGGCGTTATAAGTTAAGTTTCATCTAGGATATATTAAAAAATTATATTGTTCATGAAAATCGAAAAATTGTAATAATCTAACAATGAAAACAGTGAAATTAATCATCGGATAGGAAATGAAAAAAGAGAAATCGCATCAAAGTTAAAAAATCCTCAGTTTTTATATGTGTAAAATTAATAATATTATTTTATATAAGTTATATTTAGGTTAGATGTAGGATAAAAAAGTACATTAGATGATAGATCTATTCTACGTTTCGTTTGTGATGATATTTATATATGTGATTTAATGTACATGGTGTATTTAAGTTTTAGTTAAATTTAAAAATATTTTTAATATATTTTTATATATTAAAGTTTAATAACTAAACATTGAAATTAATGAATATTTAATAACAAATATTTTAGAAAAATATTATTATAATGTCTTATTTCTTAATTTCATGGGTAATGTAATAAATAATTTTTATCACATATAATTACAATTATTTTATTTAAATATAAATTTTGATAATTGTAGTTTATATTTTTGAAAATACAAAATATTTTATATGATTATTAATATCAATATAAACAAATATTTCTAAAAATAGTGTGCGTGAAAGTGTATCAGAAAATATTACTCATGTTCGATAAAAAAGATTTAAACGGATATCGTATTAAAAAGCGGGATTATTTTAAAATAGTAATTTTAAACAAAAATTATTTCGTAGGGTGCTAATTCTCACGGCCAACTTGGTCAAGGAATTCGGTCGGAAGAATGTGTTTTACCATATGAAGTTGATTTATCAAAATGCTTATTAGAACCACAAAAAATAAAAAAAATAATTGGTGGTGCTGGCCATACTTTAATTTTAGATGATTATGGTTGTGTTTATTCTTGCGGTTGGAATAATAAAGGGCAAGTGGGTTCTTCTACAAAAGAAGATATTCTTTTATTTCAAAAATTAAATGGAAAACTAAAAGATAAAGTTATCGTGGATATAGCATGTGGTTGGGATTGTTCTGCTGCGTTAACAATAGAAGGCACATTATTTGTATGGGGCTCGAATTCTTTCGGGCAATTGGGAATGCATCCAAATGATTTACAGTGGACACATGAACCCTTCGAGGTTGTAATTGATCGAAAAATCAAAGGAATTTCTATGGGTTTAAGACATACCGTTCTAATAACAGAAGATTATAAAATTTTTGTAGCGGGAAGAGGTAGTAAAGGACAATTAGGCTTAAATTCCACGAAGAATGAAAAATCTTTAAATGCCGTATATATTTTTACAGAAGGTAAATAAGTTTAAAACAGCTTCTAGCAATATGAATAAAAATTAGATTATGATGATTTTATACAGTTTTGACGTTATCAAACATTGAGAATATCAGTTGTGGCCAACACCATACGATCGCGGTAGCAAAAGATGGAAATTTTTATGCATTTGGTGATAACAAATATGGACAGTTAGGAATAAATACAGATATTTTTTCAAAAACGTTCATTCCTACAAAACTGTCAGATCTTCAATTTAAATTACCATTTAATTTATACAGTGGTTGGTCGCATGTGATTGTATTAAAGAGTAATGTATACATACTTTTTATAATTAATATTCATGTAAAATAATATTTTTAATTTTATTATTTTATTAATAGATAATTATATTTTCGGTTGGGGTCGAAATACATATGGACAGTTGGGTATTGCACAATTAGAAAAATCATCGACTTGGAAAGCTATACAACTTGAAAATATACCTAAAATATATCAAGTTTCTGTAGGTTCAGAACATAATGTTGCGCTAACTGGTATATAACATAATATAATTTATATAAAAAAAAAAAAGTATTAAAAATTGTTTAAAAAAAATATCTCATTTCAGAAGATGGAAAAATTTTATGTTGGGGATGGAACGAACATGGAAATTGCGGAAATGGCCATACCAAAGATGTTAAATTTCCGGAACAACTTTTACTCTCTTATGATTATGTAGGTATTCTTATCGGAAGTGGTGCAGCTCATTCATTTGCAGTAATAAAAATATCTCCTAAGAAATAATAAAAAAAAATAAATAAATAAAAGAAAACTAAAAAGAAATATTTTGAGTAATTTATGTCATGAAATCCCTATATGTATTATCAAATGAATATATATACATTAATATATATAATGGATAATGAATATTGAAACAAAAGAAATTTTCTTTTTCAATATTACATGAAAAAATTGTAACTTCATTTAAATAAACGATTAAAGGATGAACAAAAATTAGTATAGTATAGATATAGTCGAAAATCGACCTCACCTGTAGGCACAATACACCACCTGCCAACAACCAGTATTCACGCGAACGTAACTATAGAAGTGTGTTGGTTTCATACGAAGATCGATCGGTTTAAATAAAAGAAGTTGCGATATTACATTCGATAAGATGTTACGTTCAAGATCTCAAAACAGCATTTGGTATGTATTTTCAATTATTTATCGTATAAGTTTAAATTTGTATTTATAATTATTACTTTATTAATATTATTCATCAGGGAACAAGAAGCAAAGTTTGTACAAGATAGAATATCCAATGTAGAGAAATATTTTGCGGAATTATGCACAACATTCGCAGCATATACAAGAAAAGCAGCAAGGTTTATAATTGACTATTATTATATTTTTATAATATCGATATTTTATTTTTTCTATTTTTTGATAACATTTTTTATATATATTTATGTAATATATTTTGAGATTACGTGATAAAGGAGATGAAATAGCAAAAATTATACAAATTTATGCTGAATCGGAAACCGTAAATCGATCTTTATCTAACGGATTGACAAACTTTTCTGCGACTTTATCGATAATAGGCGATTATAGGTATGTATTTATTTATAAAATTGAATAAGTTTAAATAAATATTTATAATAAATTTCTTTATTCAAATTATTGTAATTTTTATCCGATATTTCAGAGATGCTCAAGTACAGAGATTTGATGCTAAAATAATTTCTCCACTTTCTCAGTATGCGACAATTTGCAAAAACGCTCGTGATGATGTAAAAAATACATTTACAGCACGCGATAAAGAATTGACAAGAAAAAGACATTTAGATAGACTTAAAGAACGAAATCCGAGAAATAGACAGATGATCGTATCCTTGTATTAAATTTAATTTAATTCATTGATTTATGTACAAAAATTAAAAATTATACTAGTTTAAATTCTTAAAAAAAGAAAAATAGTCTCAAGCTGAATCTGAGCTAATGAAAGCTTCTGTTGAAGTTTCAAGAGTTGTTAAGGGTTTAGAAGAACAAATCGATACATTCGAAAAACGAAAATTACATGATTTGAAAACTATACTTTTAGATTTTATTATTATTGAATTAAGTTTTCATGCAAAAACTCTTGAATTATTGACGAAGGGTTATCATGATATTGCAGGAATTGATGAAGTCAAAGATTTAGAGGTAAATTATTTTTTAATTAAAAATATTTTAATTTTAATATAGAATAATATTGGATATTTCCATTCTTTCTTTTATTATAAATAATATACTATATATAATATTATATATAATGTAATAATATATAATGTTTCGAAAATACTGTAAATTGGTATTATTTTAACATCTTCTCACAGGACTTTCAAATAATAAGAGGAAACATGAATGGGGTAATTTTTTATTCAATAGTCATATTTATTTTATGTTAAGTTATAATTTAAATTATGAAAATTAATTGCAAATTTTTATCATTTTAATAATTTAAAATAATGATTAATTTTAGGAATTTCGTGAAACGATGCATGTACCGGATTCAATTGCGAGATTGACTACTGTTGGGCGAAATTCATTTCGGCAATCTTATTCCCTTACTAATTTGGCTAGTCGTTTTATGTCTTCGCCCGGAGTTTCTCAAAAATCAGTAAATCATATAATCGAATCTACAGTAAGTTAATTTTTATTACATATTAATACATATTATTTGATTATATATAATTGTATAATCACAATAAATTTTATATAGGATTCTACAAAATCAAGTTTAAAAACGAATTCATCGGAATCTGTACAAATTGAGGAATTTAGAAATAGTTCAGAAGAAACAGAATCTGAATCTACTAAAGAAAAACCTGTGAGAACCAGGCACAAATCTATGTAATTTTTAATAATCTATTACTTTCAAAATATTTTACACAATTCTAGATTGAATTACAAACTGATTCTGGACAGAGGAACAAAAACAATTTATACTTAAAGCAATACCATCAATTCCAAGATATCAAAAATTTTTAACAATGCCTATGATGATCAAATATGATTGATCTTATATTAGTGAAGTATATCTTATATTTTTATTTAAAAACAAAATGGAAATAAAATGTGCATTATATCAGTATAAAAGAAATCAGTTTATTACATTAATAACCAAATGTGCATATCAATAATATATAAATATTTCTTATAGAATATTATTTGTTGATATTGAAAAAGATCTCTTTGACTCTATATCAAAATTGATGTTACAATAAATATTATTTATCACCTCCTTCTACTCCAGCTTGTGTCATTAAATCTGTAATATTCTTTTCTAAATCATCTATTCTATTTCCCATTTCATCTAGTATTTTATATTAAGGATATCTATTATTTATATTTATAAAAAATTACAATAATATATATATATAATATAATTTCCTTAAATAACTTACTTCTTTTCATATATATCAGTTATATTTTTTTATCAAAAGGTTATGTAAATATACACTTTACTTTGCATTTTATTTTGTTAAGGTTATTTAAGGAAATGCATTTTAAATACTTAATAAGAAAAGGATATTTTTTCCAAGAATTTGATCCGACATTGTTTGAAATTTTCCTTGCATATTTTGTAATAATGTTTGCACCTAAAATATATAAAAAGATACATAAATAATTAAAGTCACGATCGAAATATGAATACAAAATGTTACAATTGAATTAATCGTACTCACATATTCCGTTAATTCTTGCATATTTTTCGGTTCTGCATTATTACCTATTCCATAATTATCAGTATCCTCGCCTTTATGATCCTGTTTGATATCTGCCATTCCTAAATAATGTAATTATCCAATCTCACTTCACAATGACTTTATTCTTTCGAATAGTTCACGCGAGCGCATGCGAAGATTTCCAGTAAACAGATACTTTTATTATGTATAATGCAAAGCATTAAAACATTGATTTAACAAATGTAAATAAAATATCATTTCTTTCGATCAAACATTATTATAATTCAGAGACAGCAAGTTTCGTATGTACTTTCGTAGAAGTACATAATTCAAATAAATGATTCTATTGGTGGAAATTAAAATAGGATTCTTTCCATTTGCTGCTATCCTGAATAAAATATAGTTTACATCTAATAACAGTAAACATAAAGGCGCGTACAGATTAAGCAAAAATGTTTTCAAAAAAATATTATACATTTTGTAATATTAAGAAATTGAAAGTAAAAAGAAACGCAATTGATGAATATAAAATTGTTATTAATTTTATTAATATATACAAGATTATTATTATTATTTGTTTTTTGATTAATTTAAGAATATTAAATTAAAAATTATTTTTATTGAGGTTTAAACATAATATTCACATTTTCTGGTGCTGGAACATTCAGAAGATTTATTGTTCCAATCATTTGATAATTTGAATTAATAGATGAAATGGGATATATTTGGTCATTTTTGTTTTCTTTATTTGCTAAAAATTTGCAACAAATAACATACCAAAAACTTTGTACAATATTCTTCACTAGTCCTAAAAATTTTATTGTGAAATGAAAATTATCTTCAAGATGTAAGACATAAATTATTAAAATAAAATAAAACTTACCACTTGTAACAAAAATACCTCCAACAGTAGCACATAATTTCACTAAAAATTGACACACTGTATCACGTTGTTGAGTAACTTTTATTTTAAGTGCACTCATATCATATTTAAAAAAAATTCCTGGACTTCCATGAGATCCTTTTTGATGATTAATAGGTCTTTGATGATCTTTTACACTATATTGATAAGTCTTGGAAGTGCTCAATAAAGTTTGTATATCTGTGGGAACTACTTCCACAAAATACTGATATAAAAGCATATCTAAAAAAATATATTTTTTTAAATTATATGTATTATATTGCAATATTAATTTTTACTTTAAATATTATAATATTTATTTTACATATTATTGTTATATGTATAAACTTACTATTATCAGCAATTTTTTCATCTCCTTCTAATGGATGAACAATACCTGGACTAGGCCCACCAAATGAAAATTTATTTATTCTATGAGTAAAATTATAATCTTTTTCAGTCATAAAGGCTGAAATATGTATATGTCCTTTAGGAATAGATAATGATTTTCCAGCAGTTATATGAAAATTTCCAGCAACTTTATTAACATTTAAACTGCCATGAATACGACATGCATTTGGTGCATAAATAGGTTGATGAGTTCTGAAAAATGTATTGTAATATATGTATATATATATATATATAATGTGTAACAATCACAGATGTAATAATAGATATAATATTGTATTGCATATATACACCGTTTTGGCATTTCACTATATAAAGTAACTTGATTTGATTTCCATAATAATTCATGGATTGCATGATATTCTTCTCTTAAATAAGAATTTGTGTGTTTCAAAGCTTCAAAGTGAGATCTTTGCTCTTGGGTTAATTCCCACCATGTATCTTCTTGTTCTAATGATTCATGTCCAACCATATTTTGATTTGTGGAATCTAAAACATCAGCACCAATGCGACCACATGGCATAGCAACAGTTATATCAATATTTATTTTTAATTTTGCATCAATATCTGTATCAGTTTCAAATTTGAATTGCAATCTGCTATCAAGATAATAACTTGTTTCAGCTATTATTAGATATGCAATAGTACAGATTGTAAATATAGAGACTGTAAATAAAAATAAAAATAAATATGTATAGTTAAATCAAAATATTAAATGATATTGATAGAAAGCTCACATGTTCCTCCAACTGCAGTTTTGTCTACATATGGTTCAGGAACTTTGGGAAATGCATCCAATTCTTTGACAGTTTTGATATTAACATTTCGTCTTCGTAACATTTTAACAATTTTTAAAATTCAAATATGATGAATATATAACATTTATTCTCTAACTAAATTCTACTAACCTATAATATGTAAAAATAAATTTAAATATACTTTTATTTGAATATAGATAGATAATATATATTTGTCAATATTATTTTAATTTAATAAATTTTGACCTCGAACATGTATATTATATATTTACATATTTACAAATATAAGTACATATTTAAAGTCTACACAATATTTCAAATATATATTAAGTTCCACGTGGCAAGCATTCATACGTTATAATTGTAAACTTCAATGCAAATGTCAAACATCTTTTTATTGAATTACTTATTTCGAATTACATATTCAGAAACAAACGAAGTTGAGTATTTGTACAGTGACTGAAGATGCCACTGTACCTATAAAAAAAGCTTATATATAAACAAATTAATTGAAATACTAATCAAATGTTTCAATATAATATAAAAATTAATTGATATTATTATAATTTCAAATAATGGGCGATTATTCAAATTAATAAAATTATACTATAATTTTTATTTATGTAAGTTTATATTATATTTATATAATTTCATTTATTTAATTACAGAATATTTGACGGGAATAAATCTAATACGTATGTATATACATTTATAAAATTTTCAATGTATTAGTTAATTTCATGATTGGATAAGTATGTACATGTTATCACTTCAATGATTTAAAGCATTTCTTATCTTAAATGATTTTTACATTTAACGTTCACATCGGAAATAAGTGATTTTGTAGTATGGAGGACGACTATGCATTACATATGTTATTTATATTAAAAGTTTAAATATAAATAAATTAGTAATTTTTCAATTAATAGTGAATTATGTGCACGTGTTTCATTAAAAAGTGTTAATTTTTAAGTATATGTATATGTGTATATATATATATATATATATATATATATTATTATATATACACGTATATATATATATTATTACT